AGAGTAACACCCTGCTCTGGTTCTGCGCCACCTGTAATCATTACAACTGTATGAGGCAAGTCATCGTTGTTCCAGCTTTAAGGAAGAGGTAACTGAGGCTGAGAAGTGAATGCAGTGCCTGGAGCCATTTGGTGAGGTAACAGGAGAGGCTGTTAATGACTGCGTTATTCCCTGATCTTTCAGATGCTACAGTTGGTGCCAGGGCTCCGATAAAATGAGCAGCAGCCACAACCCTGAGGAGCTCATAAAGAGAGTTTGCTTGGCAGAATGTCCCACATTTGGGTGGGAAGGCGGTACCCATGAGGTTTCCAGTATAATTAGGATTCCCATGAATGTGGTCCCAGCTGCTCTGATAAAGACGACCGAGTTGACAGGTGACCGTGGCAGAACTAGGAGCTGTACATATTTTGTGGAGTCCTTTTCTTTAATCCAAAGATCACTTGATCACTCATAAAATCAATTTGCATCTCCTCTTGATCTCTGTCCTGCCTTACTAAAACCCATAAAACGAAAGGCTGGGAGTAAAGAATAGGAATCAAGTCCTGACCATAACAAGTACCTAATGTAATGCATGATAGGCTTCAAATTAATTCAGAAATAATTGCAAACAACAGGACAAAACATTATTGTTAGTGGTGGCTTCCTAGTTCAGTCTGAGACTGATAATTAGCTTTTTTTGTTAGGCACCGTTACTAGTCAATGTGAAAAAATTAAGGCAGATTCATAAAGGCAGGATGGTCAGGCTGCAGGAAACAAGAATTTGCTAAATCTCACTGTAAATAAGTTTGTATATCCCAAACTTCCAACTGCTCTGAAAACTCTTTTCCTGCCTTTTTAGAGCCTGCCACTCAATAAGTAGGAAGCGTCAAACATTTCACACATTTCAAAGAATCACAGTTTTGTTTCAGTTAAAATCCCACCATTGCCACAGCAACATCATAGCAGCAATCGTGCCAGGCTCACTTACCCCTTCACAGCAAAGAACAAGTCAGGAGAAACGGTTAGAGCCATGCAGAACTGAGAGTGCTTTTATATCTTTTCTTAGGCAAGCAGGAGGATATGAAGCATTCTTCATGGATGATGTCCTGATGCATTATCAAACAAAAATTCACTCCACCTGACACTGCCCAAGATAATGCAATTGTTTTGCTCAGTGATGGTGATTAATATTGTGTTCTTGTCATTACCCTGGCAGAGTAATTTTTTTTTTATTGCTTTTTCCTATTTCTCCAACTGCCTCACGTAGCAAAGATTGCTCAGAAGCTTATCCATACACACAATATGCTGACGTACCTGGGATACTACCCCACTTTTCCAAATCGTGCTCCAGTAAGGGGGCATTGTGCAATTTATCCCATCATACCCACGCGCGTTCATTCTTGTGACTCTGCTATGAGACACATTAGACTCCATAGGCACCTTTCTCTGAGGTTTGGAAGTGGGAAGCATTTGTTCCAGTCCTCCTGGCCAAGAAACAAACACCAAGCAGATATCCCGCTTCAAGCTCTAAAGTCCAGGTGGAGCAACCTGTAAGCAGGGAGCTGCTGTTATCCAGCCCTGGCTGGGCTCGCTCCTGGGGGTGGGCATCACAAGCCTCAGACAACGAGAAATTCATGTCCAGCTTTCATTGCCAGGGACTCCACGGGGTCATTGCTAAAGATCTCAGGGCTACTGAGTGATGAAGGATTCATGGTTTGGGGTGAAAGAGGTCAGGGAGTGAAGCTGTGCATCACCCCAGGACAACCTTGGGCTGGAATCTCCAAGTGCTGTTTCAGCTGATGCAGAAGATTGGCTGCTTGCTTCAGCAGATTTATTCCTCAGATCCAGTACCCTGCCTTCAGTTCTTACCGACAAAATTATTTTCAACACGGCCTATCCATTTTGTGTGTCCACGTTGACATAATGCAAGCTTTTTTAACCTCAAGAAGATGAGTTCTTCCCCTCTTAAAATCCATTCCCTTTTAGGGACTTCAAAGTTGAATGCCTGATTTTGAGTAACCTTGAGACCTCTGTTCCAAAATGTTGATTTTATTCCACCTTGTCCATCATTATTTGGTAACTGTTATCAGTACCTCAGTGTGATCCTCTACAGGTGACCCACACAAGAAGGCTGAGGAAGGGTTTGTTTTTTTTTTTTTTTTCTGGGGCCACCTTGGGATTTACTGCAGTGTTGTTTCCTATCAACGCCTGTGGAGACACCCTTTAAGCGGCTGGCAGTTTATGGTAGAGGATTCATATAAACAAAAAACAGGAATAGAAACAAAGGGAAGATGATGACGTAGGGAAATGACCCACCCCTTCTACTCCTTCTGCCCAAACCACACCTGGTTTCATTTTGTCTGGAAGTGGGTGATGACAACGATGACAGATACCTACAGATGAATCACACAGTTCTTGGAGATACATCCCTCTTCTAACCATCCTGCCCTCCCGAAAGGGCACCAGAAGCTACATACCAGTACCAATGCTGCCGACATCCAAATCTGCTTCTTTTGACCCATGATGCTCAGGGTTACAGCCACAGGCTTTACTTTTACAATTTTCCAGACACACAAAACGGCATTTGGGTCCCCATCTTAATGTTGTTTCCCACGTAATGGAAGTTTCACGCACTTTACCGACTTAAACCATTCACAGCCATTTTTGGCAGTGCAAATGCAGTATAGTAAAATACTTATCAACAAATAGCTCTATGAAAAGCAAAGCTAGCATGACATAGGGACTAGCTTTGCACCGGTTCCTCGTATGCCAAATCGCTGTACTGCTGGGACACACGCAGATCCCTTGTATGTGAACAATCATCAAACCCATTTACTAAATTAGCAAATTTAATAGCATCAAAAAAAGACATTCAAACGTATCTGCAAAAACTTCCATGAACTAATTTTGGATTATGTCTTTACAAGTCTAACTGAAAACTATTTCTGGCTGGCTTGGATGACTACCACAATCAAGAATAGCAAAGGGACATCCTTAATTTCAGCTTGTAATTGAAATCCAAACTCTGCTCATTATGCCCACGTATTTCTGTGCAATTCTTCCAAGGCCATGGTAAATAGCTTTAGAGTCATCCATCTAAGAGCACATCTCACACAGTGTGGGTGGAATTTGTCTCATCTGGTAACACAGCACACCCAGGTTGTACCGACATGTCTACTACACCCTAGGAGGAGTCCAACAACAGCACACGGAGCGGATGAGCCATCTGAGAGAAGGAGAGTGCAATGAAAAAGGAGGAACTGCCAACAAGGAGCGGTTGGGTAGCACTTTATGTTTGAGAAACGGGATTTCTAAGTTCTTAAAGTCTAAGAGCGCATCTCACACAGTGTGGGCGGAATTTGTCTCATAAATAACATAAATAACAATAACACAGCACACCCAGGTTGTACCAACATGTCTACTACACCCCAGGAGGAGTCCAACAACAGCACACGGAGCGGATGAGCCATCTGAGAGAAGGAGAGTGCAATGAAAAAGGAGGAACTGCCAACAAGGAGCGGTTGGGTAGCACTTTATGTTTGAGAAACAGGATTTCTAAGTTCTTAAAGAATAATATTTATGCCTTGGCATTGACTATACTTCAAGTCAAAAAGCCTGACTGTTGTTGATGTGGACTCTGTTGCTGGAATGGCCACAAAACCTAGCTAGGACTATAAAATAAATAGTCATAGGGATAACGCAAGACTCAGCACTGCACTCTTGTGGCTTAGCCGAGAGCGTGACTCAAGCTGAGTAAATCAGAGTTATCTCAGACACCTCCAGACGAGGTGAATTCAAGTCTCGAAGCTGAAGCGCTGGCATATCTTCCACTTGTCTAGAAAATTGTGATGCTGTTTCCAGATCAGAATTACTGATGCATTTCTGGGACCTCCTGAGATAGCATAGCCACCAAGATGAAAGCGGCTCTATGTTCATTATTATGTTTTAACCCCAGATATATTGTTACACCTCCTTCTATGCTTTGGTGTGCTGTATCAGACCTGCTGTGTGTAGCTGGGATGAGGGAGAAGGCAGATGGAGTAAATTTCCCATCTTTATTCCAAGTATCAGCCCTATACTGCTACAGCTCACTATCAGCAGGGATTTAAAAAAAAAAAAACAGCCCACAGTGCATTACACTGCTTGTGATACTGAGCTGTGCTTGAAAACCACTGGCTATGTGGAGCAATTGTGTAAATAAGGAAGTTTACCATCATTTCATCATTTTTGTAACATTGGTAAAATCAGCAAAACGCTGCAGGAAGCGAAACTGCTTCAAGTTTAAGGAAGAAAGAAGAGGGTGTTGGAAGAAACTGATAATTGTCCAAAGGTGAATAAAACAGTCATAGAAGCCTGGGGAGTGATGTACGCTGTTGGGTTTTGTAACAAATAAACCTGAAACACAAAGGGTGTCTCACTCCCCCCAGGCAATCCTGGAGATGGTATATAAGCGCTTCTGGCTCAGAAGTCCTCAGATCACAGGTCCTCGCTTCTCATCCCCGTTGATCCGAGTAAGTCTGATCCCTTTGCTATCTTCTTTAGCTTTAGGTACGGTGGGTTTCTGATGTTTTTAACCAAATTCTGAACTGCGACAGTGTCCGTGCCTAGCTTGGCATGAGGATCTTTCCCTTGATATTCTCACTGGCAAACAGAGCAGTGGCAGATCTCTCCTAGCCGTGGTGGAGCTGCACAACAGGTCAGGGGGATACAGCCAAGATGGGGCTCCATCCAGGTGCTTTCACCCTCAAGCTCAGGGTGAACTGCCCAGTGCATCAGGGCGCAGCTTCTCAGCTGGCTTTGGCAGCCCTCAGCACGTGGAGAGCCTGGGAGGGAGGAAGGAGGGCAGGGAAGAGAAAGAGGAAGAAGAAGCCCTGGAGCCTTAGCAGAGCACCTCTGCACAGCACAGCCTGTGCCCTCCCTGCTGCTGGGGAGGCGGAGGGGGTGATCTGTGCGGCGGGTGGTGGGCAGTGGGTTGACCCAGACTCCCCGGCATTTTGCAGGTTGACGTCCCTGCCCAAAGGATGTCCTCCTCCAGCCAGCAGCTCAGCTCCCGCTGCTTCCAACCCTGCGAGGTGACCTGCCCGCAGCCCTATGCCGAAGCCTGGAGCCAGCCCTGCGTCACCTCCTGCGGGGGCTCCCGTGCTGTGGTCTGCCCACCGCCCGTGGTCATCACCTTCCCGGGCCCCATCCTCAGCTCCTGCCCCCAGGAGAGCTTCGTGGGCAGCTCGTCCCCAGTGGGGCTGAGCCAACCAAGGGGCTTGCAGGGGTCCCTCATCTACGGGGGCTACTTGTCCTCCTCCTCTTCCTCATCCAGCCAGCTCTGGAGCCAGCGTTACAGGAGCTGCAGGCCATGCTAAGCATGGCAGAAGGGG